ACCCCTTATAGAAGGGTCACAAGGAAGAGACAAGCCAGTCAGTGTGCAGTATAGCACCAATGAAACATACAACTGTCCTCTAGTTCTTTAATGCTTCCCCTGCCCCCACTTTCATGACCCCAATTCTACCTTACAAATCCGGCTAGACCAGAGCATGTACACAGGGACAGGTAAGAGCTGGGAAAACAGCGAATCCAGGACCGATAAACCCTCAACCAATAATGAGAGCAGCGATACCAAGAGAATAAAGGGGAAAGTGGGGGGAGACAGGGGGAACCAATCACAATGGCCTATATATCACCCCCTCCCAGGGGAACAGACAACAGAAAAGTGGGTGAAGGGAGATGTAGGTCTGTGTAAGACATGAAAAAATAATAATTTGTAAATTATCCAGGGCCCATAAGGGAGGGAGAGAGGGGGAAAAAATGAGGAACTGATACCAAGGGGCCAAGCAGAAAGAAAATGTTTTGAGAATGATGATGGCAATAAATGTACAACTGTGCTTGACACAATAGATGGGTGTATGGATTGTGAGAAGAGCTGTAGGAGGCCCCGATAAAATGATTAAAAAAAGAAGAAGAAGAAGAAAAATTACAGTCGCAGAAACTCACCCCACCGGGGAAGTTCCACTCTGTCTTCCGGGGTCACTCCGACTCGGAACCGACTCAATGGCAGGGAGTTTGGGGTGTTGACTTATAACTGAAGTCCGTTGTCGGTTTCCCCTTTGTGATTTGTCTTTTAATCTTAACACACTGAAATACATGAACTCCAATACATAAACCTTGTCAATGTCAAAGTCTCTAGTACTAGTAACACGTGATCAGTTTTGGCTCCTTTCCTCACTGTTTCTTTAAAGCCATGCGGTTCACTCTAACTTCACTAAGGACACAAAGGAAATTTGTAGAAGGAATCTAACAGGAATCCCTCTCGCCACCCGTTAGCTTTCTGAACTGGGATTTCAAGGAAAGATGTGCACATCTGAGCTGGTTTTTCCTCTCCGAAGTGGACGTCTGCATCCCAGTCACCATAACAGGGAGTAAAGAGAGCGAGGATCTTTAGTTTATAGTTAAGCCTACTCCCCTCTTATCAGGACGCCTACTCACACCAGGAAGATTTATTTTTAGAGGTCAAAGAGTAGTACACCACAGTATGCAGCCTGCAATGTTTGGGTTATTGTGTCTTTCGTTTTACAAATAACACGAGGACATTTATTTTAAAAAACATAAAAAACTAATGCTGGGTTTTCAAAAGTCTCCGGTTGTTTGGCTTGTTCCTCTGTACACTTGTCAACGTAGACACACTGAGTGTTCATGAAGAGTTGAAAGAGAGTCTCAACTAGGTCTTCAAAGGTTTCGCTGTGCAGCCGTTGCAATTCCTAAATGTTTATTTTACCATGACATATCAGGCGCACGCTTAGGACTGAGATGAGTATTAGCCAGCTAACTCAAGTGAAAAATATCACTTCATAATTAAAAGAAGCAAGTTCCACTCCCAAAGGAAATGCCTCTGGGATCCAGTACTGGCATCTGGTTCCTCATCCCCTCAAAGACCGAATTATTTACAGAAAAAACTGGGCTCATTTGAAAAGCCCAAAGTTCCCAGCGCTGGTCTATGGAGTCCAGTCGGATGCTGTAGAAAGGATGGTATTCTGTGCCAAGCCCGCAGAAAGCTATATGGTGTCTGCTGTTGGTGCTCTTTGGGTGCTGGCACCATGGGAGCAGGTCTGCGCTGGCCTTCTGGAGCATGAGAGGACATCGGACAATGACGGCACCACAGCCAACAACCAGTCAACCTCAAGGCGGAGCCTCCAGACATGATCAACTTCATTGTTGGTCGTCCAACCGATTGAAGACTTAGGAGGAATGAACTTAAGAGAAGTCAGCCAGACTGACCAAGCTCACTTCCCAGGAGTCCTACAAAAATAGCTAATTAAAGAAATACTTGTCCTTTGGATGATGGCAACATATGTACAAATGTTCTTGATATAATTGATGTCTGGATTGTTATAAGAGCTGTAAGAGCCCCCTATAAAATGATTTATTAAAATAATAAAAAGAAATAGTTTTCGTTTTAATCTAATAGATCTTGAGTGATTTGTACACAGTGAAAGCTGATACAAAAAACCTCCCCTGTTCCTTTTATTTTAGGTGAAAGTCCAAAAGCCTCAACAGAGCCTGCATGACTTGCATTATTTCGTTTCTTTTATGTTTTCATCTTTTTTTTTTCTGACACGACTCTCTTTTCCTCATTATTTACTGGACGTACTAGCTTTCTCTCATTTCTTCTAATGGGCATTCTTGGAATGTTTCCCTCCCTTTGAGCTAAGTTTTGTTCATTTGTCAGGTTTGGGCTTAAATTTCACTTCCTGAAGTGAATAATTCCTAATCCTTCTTCCCCACCCCGGATTTGTCTGGGTTCCTCTGCTGTCCTCATCCAGAACATCCTGCACTTTGCCTTCATAGCACTCAACCCACTTGTGACTGATTGCCTAATTTCTAATCCCCCATGAGGCAGAAGTTGAACTATCTTGTCCACATCCCCAGGGCCTGAATATCTATTTGTTGCGTGTCTGAATTTTTGTCTATTTGAAGAATCTAAGACTGTATATTTCTGTGAATTTGAGGAATCTAGTCATTGTTGTATAGCTATTCAATGGTGCCAGAATAGTTGTTTTTTGCAGATCCTCTTAATTCCCCTTCTCTCCACCACTAAGTGCATTTTGTCTTTTGTTTTCTCCGTCCTGTCTTCCTGTTCTAGAGGCAAACATCCTTTCCCCTTCATCGTGCTCAACATTATATCTCCCTTCAGCCTACTTGGCTCTGACTCCATCAATTATTTCTTCCCTTTCTCATAAACAACTCTGTCATTTCTTCATTTTAGCCCATAAATATCCTCAAATTTACCCATTGTAAAAACAAAACCCTTCCTCACATTTCCTAAGCAACTTTCACCTCTATTTCCATTAACTTTCTTATAAGATGTCTATAAGATTTATAGACATTTAGAGATTTCTTCAAATTTCTCATCTCACTGTATTATGCTACTGAAATGAAGAATCGAAGATCGCTAATCAAAATCCCTAAAAATATTCATATCCATTGATCCAAGGGTATAACGTCTAATAAACCAAATAGGGAAATATAGAGTTATCTAAAAATGTATTCATCAGAACATTCGTTATAAATAAGCCATTTCTAACCAGTGGGGACTGATCAAATTACTGTGGCTCTCTCTCTCCCTTGGGCTGTGCTCCACCAGGCCAACAGGTTGGAAGCACCAGCTGCTGCTCGGGGACAAAAACAGGCCTTTCTCTTTCTGTAAAGAGTGAGGACTCAGAAACTCACCAGGACAGGTCTATGGGTTGCTGTGAGTCATCGTCCATGCGATGGTGGTGAGTTTATACCAAAAATACTATGTAATTAATAGAAATACGGATGTGGATATAGATAGCTTAACATAGTATGTAATTAGAAGGTGTAATTATATACCAGAATAATCAACTTTTAATCTAGTATTAAACTTGGTTTTAACAAGAGCAGCATAAGAAAAAAATTCCACTTCCTTTTTAATTAAAATGCTCCATTTCGAATTAAAAAATAATTTCTTTCTGCACTCCAATGGAGAATTAACATTATAATCGCATTCTATTTCCCTCTTTGTTGGAATCTATGGCTCTTGTCCACCTGTCTTCCTGTTTACAATGCTCTGTAACATTGTCATGTTTCTGTGATAATTCTCTGAAATAAAGCTTTTCCTTCCTGCTTATCACCTTCATTCTTGAGTGTGACCCTCGACCCTCCTACCCACATTAACAAATACCCCCCACAAACCAGGACTCTGAGCCAGATGTGTGTGAAGAGGTCAATATGGCCTCTTCTTTATAAGATTTATGTAGACCATTCTAAGCTCTGTTACCTTTGGGAATATGGCATGGCCTTGGACACTGCTAACTGAAGCCATTCCAGATTTTTCTCTCTGGAAATCCTGTGGGGACGACTCTCGGGGTGTTCCTTAAAAATAAGACTTCAATTTATTTCTAAACCAGTAAACATAGCTATTGATTCTCATTCTGCTTAAGAAATAGCTATTATTCCCTAAGGCAGCGATGGGCAGGAAAAACAGAAAGTTGCTTCAGTTTGATCCTCCATCTCTCTCCCAATTATACGATCTGCCTCTGGAGTTGGGTAAATGCACATGTTGAACCACAGGGAGGTAGGTCAACAGTTTGGAAAAGGAATCTCTCATATTTTACTTCTTTCTATAAGATGGGTTCCTCTTCTCCAAGCTTGCGAGGGGCTATTTGGAGAGAGGGATGAGGAAAAAAGTGACTGCCTACTTTGCCGTTTTAATTTTTTGTGTTGGTGCAATCTAAAAAGAGCTGAAGATATTTTTAACATACGTGTGGCTGGATATTTTCCATTTGCTCGTCTACGTTGGTCTATTCTCCACTCTCGGTCTGTGCTTCCTGCACCGCACCGGCCCTTGCTCTCCAGATTCCACTTTGATTCGCTGATGGGTGGAACAGGCGGACAGCCAACGAGTAGGCGTTGAGGTCAACCAGGTTTCCTCACTGTAGTTTGACTGTAGCCGTTTCTCTACTAAAGACTACAGCTCTTGTCCAGTGGGATCTCTTACAGCTTGAATGGCAATCGCTTCATGTGTTGCCAACTCTGGGACCTTTCATTATCCCTTACTGATGCCTTGGCTTTTCCCGGCCCTGTGTAAATAGTCCTTCTAAAATGCGCCTTTGTTATCCTTTGAAGTATGCCATGCCTCTCTTCTGGGACACTCGCTGATTTTTTTTTTTTCAGGACTGGCTATATTGACACTTGTTATATTCAAAAACAAAAACAAAACAAAGCCATAGGTCACAAAATTGAGCCACCACAAGTGATCTTTAATAGTACATACATTTTGTAGAAAATTAAAAAATATAATTCAAGAAAATTTACTTACAAAAAGTAAATTTACTTACAATTAAATTGCAAAATTTACCCAAAACAATTTGCAGAAAAGCTACCCAAAAAAGGAGTTTTCTGAAATGAAAAGTAATGCCCAATACATGGTTCCATGTATAAATTAGTCTGTAGCTTTAATGAATTATTCAAATTACAATAGTACCCATTTTCCATAGTGTATATTTCGAGTGCTCAAATAATATCAATTCTAATGCTGTTAGGTGATTGGAGGTATGTTGTAAACTTGCAATCACAGAGGAAATCCAGTGAGGCCGAGCGCTTGATGAAGGCAGTAGGCAGTCATCACATATTCAAGTTGCAACACCACCTGTACTGACTCAGTGCCATAGGGTTACGTGTACAAAGTATCCGTTTACAGAGAGGAGCGCTTCTCTAGCTGTGAGTGGTGTGAGCAGGGACTCTTCCCATGTTTGAGAAATCATTGAATTTGGCTTAAGCTAAATGATATGCACAAACCTCTGCAAATCAAACCCTAAACCTGAGTTTTTGTCTTTTGTCCTCCTTGGATCCGATGAGCGCTGACTTGATGTTAGTGTTAGCACGCTCCTTGGCTCACTGGTTTGGGGTCAGTGTGGTTTCTGGAACTATAGTCTAGCTCTAGGTTACTATTTAGGGGTCGGGTTTTCTGGAGCTCTCCGTAGATTCTAACCGAAGTCAGGTCTCTATGAGATCTTTAGAGATTCGAGACTACAATTTAGCACCATAGCTTCCCAATTCTCCCTTGGGAAAGAGGACCTGGGCCACAGAGAACCATCCAGGAGCAACTCGGCTCACAACTGACTGCCCGTCCTCTATCTGGATGCCTAAAGGTAGGGCTGGCCTTGAGGTAAACATCTCCTTGAGTTTCATTTTCCTTTTTCATTCCATTGGCTGGGGCTGGACTAGGGTGACCTAAAGAATAAAATCTAGGTCTTTTTTTATCACAATTCAGTTCTCTAATATAATAGGCTAAATTATGTTTCTTTTATCTAATTTGAAAATGAACTAATAGCTTCAACAGGTATGCTTGATGTGACAATTTTTAGAGAGGAAATATTTTATATCTAATCTAAGTAATTAAAAAAAATTACCTTTAAATTTCAATTAATAGTAGGTGACTGATTCCCACAGATACCTTTCTCTTTAAGTCTCTGTTGTGCATATCCTGATGAAACCCCATCGCACGTGTGGTCATTCAACACCGAGTAAGGGTCATTAAGAAACAAAGCCTAGCCATCTGTAATTCTCAAACAAGTGACTCAAATGTGGGGTTCCCAGAATGAATCACTTTGTTTGACATGATATCCAACTTTGCCTTTTTGTTTGGTTTGTCCTTGGGCATCATTCCAGATTTATTTTATGGATGGTGAAGGTGGATGAAGGATTATAGGCAACATTTTCATTTGGAGGGAGAAACTGTTATCTGACAGAAGACATTAATCTTCCAGATTCAAAGTAACTTTAGAATTTTATGTTTAGGAAGTACCCATGGGCCTAATTTCGTCCCATTGAGAACAGTTTCTTAACTTTAGAGTATTTGGTAGACAAGGGAGATTTATTTACATGTCCAGATTTTAGTTAAGTTACATTTTGGCTGGCTTGTTTAGACTTGTAGAAAAGTGTACTATTTATTTGCTTTTGTTTTTGTTTTTTATGTAAGAGCTGATGGGACATAGATCATGTGTGTCAAAGTACACCAGTGCCTAGATTGTTTGAGATAATGGAATGATCCTCTCGTTTGATGCTACTTATAGGAAATGGTTTAGGGTCAACAATTATAAGACAAAATAAAGTGGTCCACTATAAAAAAAATCATGCTAGGAAGGTAATACTAAACTAAGAGGAAAAAAAACCCAACCAAATACTATGTTGAATATTTAAACTCTAATTACAAAGCAATCACACTTTAAAAACCCGACAAATAAACTCTGTTTTTCCATTTTCATCTCATTTAAAAGATAGTATGTCTATGGTAATTATATGAGGAATTCATTAAATGCTATTTCATTTTAAACTTCTGTTTTATAGTTCATTTTTTTATAATATTTTGGATTCGTTTACACAGTAACTAAGATATGATTAAATAGTGCAAATACACAGAAATATTTTGATGTTGAGTTTACACCACGCCAAACATTTAGATTTAGAAATATGTTGATATGACTCACTGTTTCATGATTTCCTATATGAGTCAAACTATGTTCCCTAAATAAAAATAAAGACAGATGAAGCTCGCTACAGCACAGGCATTTCACAAAATATATGTTAGTCATGACCCCAACATCCCTATTAAAAGTGCTCTACTATATGTCAAGGATTGACAGGTTTTCCTGTTTTGAACTCTTAATATTTGGCTTTAGATATAGTCATATATAGCCTTCCTAAGAAGTACAGTAATGAATATTAATCAGAATGTGTTCTCTTAATAACGCTCTTCTATTATTTCTTGAGAAACAAATCCCTAACGTGCTCTTGATTACTGTGAGCACATCTGGGCATTAGGAACAAAATAAGCTGGGGGGAAAGTGCACAGAGCTGACAGTAGCCCAGGGAGCCCACTCTTCCAAGGAAAACGCTGTAGTAACCGGAGAGCACTCCCATAAACACAGACATGACAGTAAAAAGTGCTTCTAATCCTCAACTTCATTGTCCAAATAAAGGATTTATCCAGCTAGCATAAGCCAACAGGGTGGGTTGCATCCACATAAAGATTTTCTAGACAATACATAAAAAAGTTTTATCTGACCTACTTGTAGACCACGGCATGTCATGCTGTAGAAATTTATAATGTATTAGCATACAAGATTAAAGTAGGACAGTAACTATTTAGGTTTTAAACAAATTGTAACACCACGTGCTTTCTTGGTCAACTGGAAAGTTTAGCCTTAAGACGAGTGGTTCTTAAATGCAGTCGGGCTGTTTGCTGAAGGCGACCGAGCCAGCCCACTGGGGGCGGCTGTTAGCGAGGCTTCCTGACACCTTCTGTGAAGTGCCCTTGCCCACATCTACAGCCCGACCACTGCTTCACACGTGTTGGCTCCTTCCCTGGGGATCTACATTATGATGATGAGCGTTTTCATTTCTCCAATGACTCGCTTCAAAATGACCTCCCAGATGCGGGCTGATACTTCTTAATTACTGTCTACAAAAGTCAGTCTGTGTACTGGAATTTAACTGGGTAGAACAGGAAGTTTGTGTATCTTGTGTTTTGAATGAAATCCGACAACAGAGCACTGAACGCATTAGTCTCAGAACAGGAGGCCGAAGGATGGCAAAGACCCAAGGGTCAATTATTGAATTGATTGATAAAAACCTAAGCGCTTGGAGGTCCCACTTCTCCTTTCTGGACGAGGTTTCATTCATGTATGCAAAAATCTGTAAGAAACAAAAGAGAAACAATGTTAATAACAGTGGACAAACATCGGCCACAAAACCAAAACGCTTACTGCCATTGAGCCGGTTCTGATAATAGCATATGTGGCCAGCTGTGACCTAGGTCGTGGTATGATATTTATTCAGATGTAAACCTGAAACTGCACTGTGTGTTGTGGGGAAGGTGAAGTGGGGGGTGGAGATCAAAATTGCACCCTTCTCCCGTATGTAAATGGTAACATAATAACTTTTTGTCTCATGAAACTCGAAGAACCCTGTGGTTCACAATGAATATCAACATTATAAACAGTGTTGCAGTCTTTTCATTTTGAACAGAGGGAAATGGATCAACTTTTCTAGGCACCCAATTAAGTCGTTTTAGTAATAGCAATACTAAGTCTAATAATATTAAGTAGTTACCACTGGCTAATAATCAGACATATATCTAATTTACATGTATAAAAAAGCATACATGGGAAGTATGCTTGCTGTACCTCGAGTTCTTACAAAAGCTTGAAATATTATCATCTCATTCTAACCCACCAGGAAGTAAGCTGTAGCAAGGTTCGTCATGACGGGTTAATTGACTTCCAAAAGGGTTCATCTGATTTAATCACTGATTAGCTGAGATGAGGGAGAAGCAGAGCACTGTCAGAGGGAGTACCAAAGCCCAAACCAAACTGAAAGCCACCCAGCCGGTGCTGACTCATTGCTAGGAGTTCCTACAGGACAGGGTAGAACATCCCCTGTGAGTTTCCCACAGTCCCTCTCTATGGCGGTAGAAAGCCCATCTTTCGCTTGCCGAGGGAGTACAGGTTGTTGCTGTGGTATTGCCTGACTTGCAGCCTGACTCCATACACAGTTTAAAAACGTAACCTCTGTGTGCCTCAGTTTCCTCATTTTGAAAATAGAGAGTTTTGCAATAGTCAACTTCACAGGGCTGCTGTAAACAGGAAGAGAGGTCATAAGTCGAAGGTGCTTAGGACACGGCTTGACATAGTAAGTGCTCGCTGTATTATCGCCGTGCTATCAATGGGGACACAGAGCCACAGAAATGTTAAGTGCCCACCTTCCCAGGGGCATGATCCTATAGAGGGTTTCCGAGAGTGTCTATCTTTAGGGGCTCTAACAGTCTCATTTTCCATGGAGGGATTTGAACACCAGGCTGCCTTGTGTTGCGCTTAGTAGCCCCATGCCTAACCGACAGCACCACCAGAGCTCCTTTGTTAGTGGGTGAGTCTGGCCACAGTCACTAATTCTCCTGACCACTGTCCAGTGCCCACTGCAGGCTGCACACGGGTCACATATCTTTGGAACAATGTCCTAGACTGTAGAAAGCTCGCACATCTTCATGTTGGTCGGCGCACTCCAACTGGTAACCAGTTTTGAGCTACGCCCTTAGATATGTAGGAAACAAGCAGCCTTCTTGGCCAGAATGAAAGGGCGGAACTTGATTCTAACTTGCATGTCAGTTACAGAAAAGAGGAAAACAAAAGTAAATCACTCAGTTACTGAAAACCACAGCCACTTCCATCAGTCTATTCCAACTCCTGGGCACCCTCTAGGTCAGAGTAGAATGGCCCCTGAGGTTTCGAAAGCTGCAAATCCCTATGGAAGCAGGCTGCCACATCCTTCTCCAGTGGAGCCGTTGGAGGGTTTGAACCACCGACCTTTTGGTTAACCACTGTAGCACCAGAGGTCCTCATTTGAAACCAGTTCTTTAGAAAGCTCCAGGTACTTTCTTCCCAACCCTTCCCTGTGAGTTAGGGAGCGTCCCGTGTGTGCACACTTCTCCCCTAGGAGAAGGAATGGCTTGTAGACTAAGTCTGCAGCCATCTGGCACCTGGGCATACAAAGCAAATTGCAGCGAGGGTGCTGAGTAGCCCTCTTCTGGTTGCTTATGTTAGAACAATAGCAGGGAGTTTTGGCAGTCACAGGTGTTTATGCCTGAGAATCTTGGCAAAGGGAAGGGAGCAAAGACTTGGCAGATGAGTAAGGAAACAGTGGAATTGATGGTGGAGTCCCTGAATTAGAGAGAATAGAGGAAAGTTAAGTGGGGACACTCCATTTTCTTGCCAACTACCTTATTTTCAATGAGAAATATGGGGTACTAACAGAGTACGTGTCAGGAGTGATTTCAATCATCAGAAGTTCAAGTTTGTGCAAAATGTCCATTATCTTATAATTCTATGTTTCCCCAAACGTTTAAAGTCCGCTCGTATACCTATACATTGCTGTTATTGTTAAGTAGGATTATAAGTCGCAGTGGCCCCACGTGAGTGAGCAGAATGGGTCCGTAAGGTTTTCCAGGCAGCAGCTTTTCCTGGAGCAGATTGCTAGGTCATTATTCCACAGGAATCCCGAGAAAGTTTGCAGCATGAGCAGCCAAACAATTGGCCATTGCATCAGTAGGTAGATGAAAATTGATATCGATTGAACATACCGTGGACTGTCAGAAGAACAAGCAAATCTGTCTGGGAAGAAGTATAGCAGAATGATCCTTAGAAGTAAGGATGGAGCGACTCCGTCTCACATACTTGGGACATGTCATCAGGAGAGACCTGTCCATAGAGATGGACAACGTGCTTGGTAGAAGGTTCAGGGGGAAAGAGGAAGATGGAACGACACAGTGGTTGCGACCGATGGGCTCAAGTATAGCCGTGCTTGTGAAGAGGGCCTGGTACCTGGCAGAGCGTCGGCCCCTTGATCACAGCGTTTCTATGAGTGGGAACGGACTCGACAGCACCTCATGACAACAATGTCCATATCTCTGCTAGCTGCCGACACGTCATTCTGTGTGCCAGTGCGTATGCTGTACAAAGAAATGTAGCACTCTGGTTTGTACATTTTGAGTTTGTGGCCTAGTTCAGGCAAACACTGCGATCACGATGAACTGTTCAGCCAAGATGGGCCGGACAGAGAGCTGGACTCAGTATGCAGAGCTTCACGCATGAGGGTGACTCAGGCTTCTAGAGGGAACAGCAACCCCCATCGCTCCTGGTCCCTTTAGAGCGTGACAGCAGAATGAGAAGTGAAAACTGGAGGATGAAGCAATTCTGTACTATTTGCTTCCTTTCCTTTCATCTACTAACAGTGGACAGTTTTAGAATTGGTTAAAATGTGCATTTCTGGAGGTGGCCAATATTTTATAAAGACAGGTCCTCCACGTGGTAAAAAGAATACTTTAGTGACCCTTGGAGTTCCTGTGTAATCGTTTTTTTGATGTAAGCTTTTCAATTTTCTCTCAAACCTTTTCTTGTTTTCCTTTGGATATTGTCTTTGGTCTATGGTTAACCATTTTAGAATTTGTGGATCCTGGGTTTTATGTTAAAGGCTGACTCCAGGGAGATAAAGCAATAAATGAACAATGTGTTTCAGGGAGATTGTGGCATTCGCTGTCCGAGGTTGCTAATGAATTATACATCCTTTTGTAAATATTACTAATATATTTGCTATGAGACAAACAACCAAGCGGTAATCTAAATGAGTCAAAGTAAGTTTAAATTCCTCAGGGAAAGCTCTCCCTAAAGGGCTTTACGAGGAACACAGCGCTTGAAGGGAGCCCTCCAAAGCAGGCTGATAAGAATAGGGGCTGGTTTTGAATCGTCTTCGGTGGAAACCTGTGGTGTCTCCCAGGACACATCATCAGGTCACTGACTGGACACTATTTATTTGAGCTACATTTCTCTCTTGGATGGAACTGCATAGCAGGTTCAGAATTTCAAAACAAATGTGAACTGTATTTAGACACTCATTGAAATCACCCAAGAAGCTTTAAAAAAATTCTAATGTATTGGACCCTTTCTCAGATTCTAAATTAATTCATCTGGGCTGTGACCCAGATATCAGGGTTTGGAAGCACCCTCAAGACAGTGGTTCTCAACCTGTGGGTCATGACCCCTTTGGGAGTCAAGCATCCCTCTCACTGGGGGCGCCCGATTCATAACAGTAGCAAAATGACAATTGTGAAGTAGCAACGAAAATAATTTTATGGTTGGGAGGGGTCACCACAACATGAGAAACTGTATTAAAGGGTCGCGGCATTAGGAAAGTTGAGAGCCACTGCATCTGAATGTGTGACTAAGGCTAAGAACCACTGCTGTGCAGCCTTATCTAAATCCAGAAATAGTTTAAACTCATTATTTATCACATTTAAAAACAGAAGACCCATTTAGGCCTGGCCCATCCGCTGACATAGAGCTTCCAGAATCCAGTTTCTCATTATGTTAAGAAAATCTGGTTTTCCATGGGAAATTGAATTGTATTTTGGCCACAGCTAAGTTTACTGAACACCTATTGTATGCCAGGCTTGATGCTAAGTGACTTGTAAGTATACTTCTGTTTAATGTTTACACAAGCTTATAACATTTTCCTATGTTCGTTTTGTGGTTCGGTGCCATCGAGTCGGTTCCAACCCACAGGGACCCGATGCACAACAGAAGGAAACACTGGCCAGTCAGTCCCGCGCCAGGCTCGCAATTGTTGCTCTGCCTCAGCCCACTGGGGCAGCCACTGTGTCCACCCAGCTTGTTGAGGGCCTTCTTCTTTTTCACTGTCCCTCCAATTGACCAAGGCTTGTGTCCATCTCCAGAGACTGGTCTCTCCTGGGAAGGTGTCCAAAGTACGTAAGATAAAGTCTTGCCATCTTTGCCTCTACGGCGCACTCTAGCCATACTTCTTCCAAGACAGCTTGTTTGTTGTTTTAGCAGTCCGGGGTGCTCTCAATAGTCTTTGCCAGCACCGCAGTTCAAATACATGGATTCTTCTGCAGAGCTGCAAAACACTATCATTTTCATTGTAGAGAAGAGCAAACCAAGTCTTAGAAAATTAATGGCCATGCCCAAGATCACATACCTAGTAAGTGGAAAAGCCTGATGCAGTCTAACTCAAGCAGTGGAATTCTAAGCTTTACTTCCAACCACTAGAAGCTCTGCCACCATCCGTTTCAAAAGCCTACACTGGAAAGATTCACATACCAGTCATAATCGACTGGCTGAATTTTG